TGGACGCTGTCAATCAGATGTGTTTTTAGTAAATGGACGCTGTCAATCAGATGTGTTTTTAATAAATGGACGCTGTCAATCAGATGTGTTTTTAGTAAATGGACGCTGTCAATCAGATGTGTTTTTAATAAATGGACGCTGTCAATCACATGTGTTTTTAATAAATGGAAGCTGTCAATCACATGTGTTTTAATTTAACTAGGATCAATAAAGGATGAAGTAATTTATGACGGTGAGTACAGTCACTAACCCTAATGTATCTGAAAGTGAAAGCGTCTCGAGCTTTCGGACACAACTGAGCCATAAGATCTTTCTTTATTTCTGATTTTGTAAGTTGGACTGTTACAAGATAAATTTTGTTTTATATGTTGTTGAAAATAAATACAAGCTTTGTAAGTGTATGTAGTATAACAAAATATCAAATCTTTAGGTAGGAATAACTCTCGAACAAACAGACCGTCACCTAGAGGTAAGTCATAGTCATAAACCTTCACATAGGGGTAACCACGAACAAACAGACCGTCGCCTAGCGGTAAGTCATAATCATAAACCTTCACGTCATAGTAACTCTCGAACAAACAGGCCGTCATATAGAGGTAATTTATAGTCATAAACCTTCACATAGGGGTAACCACGAACAAACAGACTGCTTAGCGGTAAGTCATAGCCATAAACCTTCACGTCGTAGTAACTCACGAACAAACAGACCGTCATATAGAGGTAATTCATAGCCATTAACCTTAACGGTCTGTTTGTTCGTGAGTTACTACGACACCACCTAGAGGTAAGTCATAGCCATACATTTTCACGTAGAAGTAATTCCAGAGTAAACAGATCGTCACCTAGAGGTAAGTCATAGCCATAAATCTTCTCGTGGAGATAACTCACGAATAAACAGACCGTCGCCTAGCGGTAAGTCATAGCCATAAATCTTCACGTAGAAGTAATTCCAGAGCAAACAGGCCGTCACCTAGAGGTAAGTCATAGCCTTAAACCTTCTCGTAAAAGTAATTCCCGAGCTAACAGACCGTCACCTAGAGGTAAGTCATAGCCATAAATCTCGTAGAGATTATTCACGAATAAACACTTTTATTTAGAGAAAGGCAAGTCATATATATTAAATCGCCGAAGTAAGTCAATCACAGGCTATCACGTTAGGAACTAAGAGATTGTCAAGTAAAGGTAATAATTCACTGAAAGACCATCACGTTAGAATAATTCAAGAACATCATATTAGAGTAAGTCAAGGATATCAGGTTTTAATCCACAATGTAAACCGTGACTCTGAAATTAATGAGGACTTTTTTAAAACACACATAAACATCACAAATTATCAGAGATAACCATTAGAATTGTATCCTAGTGACTAATATGAAGGTGAAATCGTTATTTGTTTTCTGAAACTATTAAACTATTTTAAACGGACTTTCAATAACGACAGTATCTTCTCCTCTCGCTGATCGAAACTGTTGAAAGTAAACATACCAGATTAAATGCCCGGTTTTGTCAAGTAATTTCAAGGACTCTTCCTGCTGTGTTGCCTAAGGGGACGCATGGTCTCTCTCTCTCTCTTTCTACAGTAACGCCCCCTTCGTGAGACATGTGACATTATACGAAGACCGCTGTGTAAATATTTCAGAAAACTTATTAGTCTTGATCGCCGCAGGATTTAGCTCAGCAAATGTCAACAAACGTACATGTGCACGGTGTTATCTAATGGAGCCAGTATTTCTTCACTTGTGATCCAAGTAACAGACCTTGATGATGTCATCAGTACATAACCTCAGGTGATGGAGTGTTTCTCTGCGCGTGGTTAAATTGTCGTCGCTGCCACAACCTTTGACCCTAGGGCAAAGAGAATAATCCTCATGAACCAAATAGGGATATTCCCTGAAGGCTTTAAGCCGAAAACTGCTGACAACTAATATTAAACTACGTAAAGGGCATCCATAAAATTTGATTATTGGCTAGTGGCCTGTTGATTTGCATGAAGTGTTGCCATTGTACTTCTGCTAAATTAAATGTGTTCGACATTTATTCTAAGTGGATAATTTGACGAAAAAAACAACAACAATAAAAAACACATAATAACAGTAGTATTGCAACAATATTATTAATAACATCACAATAATATTAGTGTTATAACAATAGCATAGATATCGTCTCGATAATACAAGTATTATAACAATAATATTAGTAGAGTATCAATGAGAAATCAAACATAGAATCCCGAGCTCTTCAGGAAAGTAGAATTTCCTTCATCAGGGGTAAATAGCGAATAAAGAATGTGGTCGTTGCGTCTGGAAGTGAAACGTCTAGATCAGAATAATATTAATATCAGTGCTTTTCTAAACAAAAAGAGAAAGAGGAGAAACGTTTTAGTAAAAACATTTTCTGTAAGCAATATTTTTGAAAACTCACTTAGATCTCCCTCCGCCCAATCTCCACCAGACTCTTAGCAGTGCAGTAGGCTTCACTTGTAGTTAGGGGGCGGTCTAACTAACATTACAAACGTTTGTATATTTTAATTTATGGTTTAAAAATACCACCCTAATGTAAGACATACTGTCATCGAAATTAATTATCACAAACACAAAAGTTCAAAAATGTAATAAGTTGTGTACACGGGATTCTCCTGTGTTTTTCCTAAAGATCTTATTTGTTTTTCTACAACGTAAACCGAAATGAGATTCTTTTTCATTTGTTGTTAAGACCAAAGCTACACAATGGGTTATCTGTATTCTGAACACCCCTGGTACCGATACCGGATATTTAGTGTTATTTATTAGTTGCCTGTGAGTCACTGGGGGAGGGGGGCTGAGGTTAAACACACAAAGATTAAGAATTCGTCAAATGACCCCCCGTTAAAAATACTCTGCATTAAAAATAATAATTAGCAAAAATTAAAACTTACGCAACACTTGGTGAAAGTTACACTGTTATGTAAAATGATGCTATTATTATCCTGTAAAAATCGACTTTGTTTGGATAAGGAAAACTTATTATAAACGTACTATAAAATTCATACAATTCTACGAGTCCTTTTAGGGGAAAATACTTTTACGTCAACTGTGAGTATTCTGGTAATAAGTATAGCTTAATAGTCCGAAAATGGTGTATAATAATAGATGATTCACTACGCATCGTGTAAAGTCACATTACTATAAATTTTGTTCAAATCCTGGAAAATGTTTTTGAATGACAATTTACGAGCCGGATAACACAGCGTTGGTTAAATATGTATTCTCTTTTCTTTTCCTATTTGGTGACAGTGCAGCATTGATTAAGTATGTATTATTTCATTTAACTCTTTGGGTGACAGCACTGAGTTGATTAAGTGTGTATTCTGTTTCCTTAACCCATTGGGTAACAGCATAGCGTTAGTTAAGTATTTATTCTGTTTCCTTAATCCATTGGATTCATTATGCACATAAACAAAACTAAAACAAACATCTACATAAAGGCATGAGATCGTATTGTCCACTATTAAATATAAATACGGTTAAATATATATTCGCTAGATGGCGCTTAAGTTCTTGAAGAAAGGAAATATTCATGTTAAATATACTTTCATACTCCTCTATAAAATGACCTAGGTATTATGTTGTATAGCTTCAATATAAAGTGAAACCAATACATTTTTATGTGAAATTGAAGAAAATACCGTCTTGGGTCTCAAAGGGTTAAAGGTGTTGAGGTAATATAAAGTTTGGTTCGTTGTTTTTATGTTTTTACTTTTCTGTCTTTAGCTTAGCTACATAATGGATTTCTTATTTGTGGGTGTTTGAAGTTCATTGGATTTACAAATTTATTTTTCTAAACTTATGCCTACGTCCTGCTTAAAGAGTTTATTTCATCTTTGTGTATATCTCAAATGGGATTGTTTAGAATTTGTGATTGAAAACATTAAAATTCTGAATAATCTAATCGTTTTATCAACCTGTTGACCGATTGTAGTGAGGCTGAACATTGCTTCATTGTGAACTTGCTCGGACTGTAAATCCATAGCTTCGTGGCTTGCGACCCATTGCCGCGTTTTGGGGCGTATGTGTACTATAAGTGTGACAGTAAAATACCATTATTCGGTCAGACAAGAATTGGCGGTGGGTGCTGTTGCCTATTTGGCTTCCCTCTAGTCTAGCAGTTGAAAATTAGCGACGACTATGCACAAATAGTCCTTTGTGTAGCCTTGCGCGGAAATTTTAAACAAATAAACAGCTGAACGTAGTAAGACAGTAGAGTGTACTGAATCACTAAGACTAAGTATCTGCTTTCCTCGACCTTCTGCAACACCAACTCATATAAACGTAAACACATATTTTTTAGGATGTACAATTTTGTACAAACAAGTTAATTTTTCAAACACAAAAAGTCGCAATAGAATTATTTGGATGGATGTATATTATTTTGAAGTTAATTCAGATTTTTTTGGTAATATTCTTTCTTGTTAAGTTTTCAAAGTTGTTCTTGTAGACAGTTATCTTCAATTTAAAAAAATAATAACAATCAAGAACAAATAATTATTATTTAATCATAAAATCACGACCAATTCTTAACATTTATCAAAAAATTACAGTAGAATTTTTTTTCTTATGTTATTTTCATTTTCAAATGTTTATATTAAAAAATATATATATTTCGATTTTTTCCAATAAGTGATAAGTAAAATTAATTTTATTACAATATAGTTGTTCTAGTTACCACCAGATGGCAAACTAATACTTGTATTTAAGTAAGTCATAGCCTATAACGTTTAAGACTATTGTGAAATACTTCTCATAAATTGTTCAGAGTGGATGGGAACTTTTCTCAACCATATGAGTGGGTTGATGCTTAACGAAATATATTGAGAGTAACAGGCATATAATAAACAGTATTTGTACTCTTTCACTACGTGATGTAAATGTGCCAAGTGACACATGATTCGGAATATTATTCAGAGATAATGGGTAGTCATCTCTGTTTCACTCGTTCCATTACACCATTACATCCTGGCTACTCAACGCATAGTTTGAAGTATATTTCACTTTTATGATGTTTATTAGTCCTTTTCAATCACC